TTTCTTTCTTCATGCCACTGTGATCGGACCCTGCCAGCACACGGTGAATGTGAATGCTTGGTAAATGATCCGGCGCTGGAGAAGCTGTGCCCTCTGCAAAGGGCACTTGCGGATATTTGTAAAGCAGGGACGGCCAGGCTGCCGGAGCCGCAATGTGGAGCAGCGAATGGGAAATGTCAAATATACATTGACGGGTAAAATTGGAGCGGCTGAATGAGGGTTAGGTGAAATATCACCAACACTGGGTGCAGGTCGAGCACTGTGCGTGTTCTTTTTTGCTACAGGCATTGCTGATCTCTGTTGTCTCTCTCTCTCTCTCCCCTCACAGCGAGCGCGAATAGTCGAGTCTGGAGCTGACGCTGTTCCCCTTTCTCGCCAGTGAAAGCGCCCGAGCAAACCGAGCCCGACACCCAAGGTGAAGGCGGAGAACAAAAAAACATACAAGATCTTCGAAAAAGCGCAAAATGGACACACATCTTGCTCACAGTCTCAGCAGCCCAACCAGCCCGTGCAATGACATGCTGAAAAATATCAGTAGTTTGGAGGCCATACAACTGTGTGACAGAGAAGGTAAGGTTGGTAAGGAGGAGGAAATCTGCGAATGCATGGATAGCTAGCCACGGGTGGCTCAGGGCTGCTCATTGTCAAGTACATGGCATTTAAAATCGCTTCCTCGTTTACCAGTGGTTCACTTTGACGCTCAGTTCTGTCGCTAAATGTTAGCAAGCTTTGAATGTTATTCAGTGTAATTGATGAGCATTCTTTTCTTGTGGGTATTCCGTTTATTTGACGGCTTTTCACAATGTCCAATTAATCAAACCGTGCTTCAGTGCTTATAATATAATGTATAACAGCGAAGATTTATAATGGTTTGTTTGGTGGAGTGAAACAGTTCTCAAAATGTGAAGAAAATTTCAAGTCTTTGGACATTCAGCACCATGGACAAGATAGGAAAGGGTCGCTGTACTGTACTCACTGCGGTGGACAACCAAACAAAATAGATGCACGGTACTTGACTGCTGTGGGTACAATGGTCGATCAAAACTAGACATACAATTGGGCTTACCTTTTGTGGAAATACATTGGTTCCCATAGTAAAGCACGCATTTATGCAGGAAGGACTTGCTTGCAATTAATGCTTAATTGGTTGCAGTTTTGGTATTTTTATAGTACTACCTGAATGTCTGATGCACAAGTTTTCCATGTCAGTGCCTTAAGAAATAGAATAGCAATGGTGAATTAATATAATGTGCAAGTGTTTCACTTGTCATGAAGAAATATCAGTTATTTTTCAGTTACAAATCATTTTTCGTTTAAAAATCTAAAGGTCACTTAAGGATGTGAAAGTTTCCCTTGCATCTATTAATTCAAATAACAATGTTTAGTGTTTTATTAAGTGCCACTAATTAGCCAGCTTGATATTTTTGAATAACTTCATACAAAATTAAACAATAATGTTAAACATTTGTGCCAATACAGGAAGTGTCAATTGCACAAATATATAAATGCATAAAAGGTTACATAATAATAAAACATTTATTTGGTCTCGGTATAGTTTGACAGTCCACACATCAGTTTAGGGGCTGACAAAGTTGAACCTAAAGTACTGTAGCTTCAAATCAAAATGAAGCATCAGAAAGTATGTGGATAAATCATCAGGGAGCATATTACTGAAAGCGATAGACCATTTTAACTGGGGAGTATGTTCTGCCACAGACCAATAACGGTTTATTACTTATCAATCCAAGAAAAGAACCTTGGAGCCATTCAGAATGGTTAATGTGAGGGCTTTATTGTTTTCTCAGACTGTGCAATGTTTAATGCACCTTGTGTAAGAGATACTAAAGTGTCGGTTTATTTGAAGTAAAAGTGCTTTTGTTTTAAAAACAATGACACTTTCACTTTTGCTGAGAAATCCTATTCAGCGTGGGTCAAAGTGAGTCAAGTTGCAAAAATTGACAAGCAATGGAAGATAATAGAAATTGAAAGCGAGATCCACTGGTCTACTAGGATAGTAAGGATCTATGTGCTCCCAGTAATAACTCCCACTATGATGTTCTCATATTTGACATGTAAAATGCATTGAGTTTATACTTAATGGATTTTATTTATCACACAAGTTGTAATTTTGGTGAGATATGAGCAAATAAAAAGTATTGTGTGTGGTTTCAGTGTATAACCACTGGTGTATATAACACACTAGCTTTAGATTTCACAGCAATTTCTGTAACTGCTACCTTTTCATATCTCGTAGTTTTCAGGTTTTTTGTTTTAAATCTGAATTTCAGAGAATTCACTGAAAATTTAAATAGATGAACACCTTGGGGAAAGGTATAAGATGGTAGCAGTATACTCAGAGAACATGCAGTAAGTTGAAGTGCTAGGGCCGGTAAGAATTCTTTAGTATGTTGTAGCAGACATGCTCTGAGGAAGAGGTGTTATAATAGCAGAGAGGGAGTGTTTTGGCAAAGTAGAGAGAAGTGAGGGAACTGTTAAGTAAAGATGAAAGTAGTTGGAGTGGACTGGTTGCAGATGCTAATTTTCAGAAGGATGGTTAGTTGGTGCAATCTGACAATGGAACTGGATAAGAGTAGGCCAGAACAGGTGATCTAGTACAGATATGTGAAATTGAGCTAATCTATTGTATTCTCCAAAATTGAAAATCCATTTTAAGTTCTGTAAAGTGAAGCAATATATTAAAATAAAGTGTAATGATATCAAACACAAAATATAATATGAACAATAAAATCTTTTCATTGATTACACAAATCATGCATAATAATATGTGCATTTCAATCTGCTGAAACATAGAAATATTAATTGTAATTTATACACTGTAGCAAGATCAGAACACTAATGCCAAATGCCAGCTAAATGTGGGGAGCAACAGCTGTTAGTGTTAATAGTGTCAAAAGCTTGAAGGTAGGGTTTGTTTCTCAAATAGCAGTATCCAGACTTGGGCTGACAAGTGGCAAGTAACATTAGCGCCGCACAAATGCCAGGCTGTGGCCATCACCAACAAGAAACAATCTAACCACCGTCCCTTGACATTCAATAGCATCACCGTCACTGAATCCCCCACTATCCACATCCTGCGGGTTACCATCGCCCAGCAACTCAACTGGACTTGCCACATAAACACTGGCTACAAGAGTAGTTCAGAGGCTAGGAATACTGTGGCGAGTAACTCACCTCCTAACACCCCAAAGACTGTCCATCATCTACAAGGCACCTGTCAGTTGCCTGGATGAGTGCAACTTCAACAACACTTAAGAAGTTGCCACCATCCAGGACAAAAACAGCCCACTTGATTGGCACTACATCCGCAACCATCCACACCCTTCACCACTGACACTCGGTAGCAGCAGTAGGTACTAACTGCAAGATGCTCTGCAGAAAGTCATCAAAGCTGGCACCTTCCAAACCCACGATCACTTCTATCTAGAAGGACAAGGGCAGCAGATACATGGGAACGTCATCACCTTCAAGTTCCCATCCAAGCCACTCACTATACGGACTTGGAAATATATCACCATTCCTTCACTGTTGCTGGGTCAAAGTTACAGAACTCTTTCTCTACTGGCTTTGTGCACCAACCCACAGCAGGTGGACTGCAACAGTTCAAAGAAGGCAGCTCACCCCTGCCTTCTCAAGGGCAACTAGGACGGGCAATAAAAGCTGGCCAGCCAGTGACACCCTCATCCCACAAATGAATAAAAAAAAAAGTAACCTTGAGTTTGTGGGTTGAGTTTGGTTCATATCTGAAGATGTGAAGTTGATACAACTTTGAAAATCAAACATACTGTATAGCTCAGATTGGAACTGGAGGGTTAAAGCAAAAGCTGAAGGTGTGAAAAAATTTCAGCAGTCACAGAAGTATAATTTTCTTAAAAGTCATTTGGAGTTAATCTCAAGTCTGAATTAAATTAAGTAAATTTTCACACTTGTGTAACTTGGGGAACTGAAGACGAATGTTCTGTACCTGAAATTTGACATATTTTTCTGTTATAATCAACACCTTTTGAGATGCAAAATTTATATGATATAATGTTTCAGGAGTGTCATTGAGTATAAGTGTTTTTTTTTCATGTGAAATATTTCATGAAAATGGATTCTTCATTCTTGGCATCTACTGTTTACTATCCTGGACAAAGTGGGTAATTTGCAAGTACACAACTGGTTTTATAATCATTTGACCACGTTAACCTTTTTTGCTCCATCAGATTAGAAGAGCACACTCCAGTGTTTAGGCTCTTGATTGTTTCTCACTATGGACATTCTTTCCTGTTTGTTTATTGATGTTCAATGTTTCTAAAAGAGCATTTCACCATTAAAATCTCATTATCTTTGTCTTCAAACCCTCAATGAAGGGACATTTCATGATGTAAGGCCAGAAAAAAGCTTCATCAGAGAATATAAATGTGATACGAATGACTTGTTTTGTTCTGTGAGCCATGTATATTTGGCTAATTGCTTTAAAATTGTGATACCCTCTCAAGCACTTCCTTGTGACAATAGTAAGGGTCCTGCAGATGGTGTGTCTCGATCAAAACTGCAGTAGCCGCTGGCACCAACTTAGTTAATTAGTTAGTTGGAATGAATGAATAATAATAGGTACTTTAAATGGTAATTTAATTAAACCATATTGAATGAGGTTGTACTTTCCAGGTGTTTATTGTGAACATCACTGGGAGAAGAATTTCATAGCTGTTTAATGTATTTTCTTACTGTAATGAATATTATTTATGTACCTTCAAAGTGTCACCTTTTACTGCAGCGAACACACAATGCCAATACTGGCCTGTAGTCTTTAGTTCTGTACGTTGCCCTTTTGATGAAATCCATTTGGATAAAGAGGGATTTTTTTTTTGAGAAACGTCTCATCCCCTCTATATCAGAGCCTGATAACCATTTAGACCTCAACTTCTGGTTGGAGATCAGTAGCTGCAGTTTGGACTGCAGCCAGGTCGAAGTCTGTTGGCATTGCTTGGCTCCTGCGTGGCTGGAAACTTGATTTTCTTGTTTAGGAGCAAACTCTGCAGATGTTTGGATAATTGTATGTAGACAGCAATCTTCCAACAAGTATTTTACTGAAATATTAATGTTGAAATAATTCTCTCTAAATATTTCAGTTAAATTAAGTGTAGGATACATAGGATTGGTTACACGATGGACACTGTGGCGACTAGGCCCAATTCATCATAGGAGAGACCCCTTGTTAGTCCTGAGACTGTGACAAAGCCTTCCCCAACTAAGTTCAAGAATGAAAGAGCTTAAGCAGGATTCATAGAATCCCCACGTGCAGAAAGAGGCCATTTCAAGCCATTGAGTCTGCACCGACTGTTTGAAGAGCATTCCACCCAGGTTCTTCCACCCCACCCCCACGGTGTTTTTACCATGGCTAACCTACTTAACTGGTACACACCTGGACATAATGGGACAATTGAGCATGGCCTGCTCATTTTTGAACTTTAGGAGGAAACCGGAGCAACTTGTGGAAACCCATGCAGATATAGGGAGAATGTGCAGACTCCACAAAGAGTGCCACCCAAGGGTGGAATCAAACCCTG